CATGTTGTTGTGATTGTGTTTCACTATCTGTAATAAACGGGAGGCTAGTCATAATCTGCTTATTTTATCTCCTCTCACACAAATATATGCATAATCTGCTTCAGTCCATTCTTCACCACATTGGTCACAAGCGACAATGGAGGGTCTGTTTCAACTCTCTATAGCACACATGTATCATTTGAGTTTGTTGGTTTTTTAATTGTCTCTCTGATCTGTTTCTCCTGAGAATATGTCAAAAGCCCAATCATCACTAGTTTTGAATCTGTTCTTGACGTTAAACATGTTCATCATATATCCTTCTTTTGTTTTTTTAACATGTGATAATCTTTTAAAATCACCCAAAATTCTTTTTAAAATCTCACCAAATGTCATCAAATCTCAAGCTAATTTCATTTTTTTAAAATAGGAAACAATAACAAATCCACCATAATACCTTAAAAACTCACTTAAATCTCCTAGAATCTCAAATATTATAAATTCCACAAAATCCTTCCAAATCATGATTTGAATACACCCCCCTTAGTTGTCTGTCTAATACTTCCAAAACTCGCCGTGATTTCTTTTCCCATTGGCCTTTGGCTCAGAATATTTGAAGTCAAAAGTAAAAGCCTCACTCAAAATCAATGAAATATATAGGGACTGACTCTATACATAAATAAAAACTCAGCCAAATTCTGTTTTCGAGCAGACACAGTAACCAAATTGATTCATACTATATTAGAAGTTGTTACCAAACTGATTCTCACAATATGGAAGTTGTTAACTTGCTATTGTGAAGACATATTTTTCTCTTTAATAAAATATGTTGTTTACATATATGCTAGACAAACACAAACAAATTATTAACCAAATTGTTTATTTTCACAAAATGCTATTATTGTTAATAATTGTTTTTATTTATAGAGCTTGTTATTTCAGCTATATTTATCAGTAACAGATATAAGTACCATTTCCATCTACTGAACTTTTAAACCAAAATGATCATGACTGGGTTCTAAACGTTAGATGCTACTCTAGTCCCCCACCTATTGCGCATATATAGTGATGTGTTTCGAACACTAGGAAGGTCTATATCTCACCAATTTAATGTAATATTTTTATGTTCTTTCTATACTGCATATTTAAAATAGCACCCCACTGACAACATTGGTGATTTAAACTAAATTTCTTAAATATGTGCGTAATAGAAACGGTGAAAGTAAACCTTGTCAATTTTCAAATGTTAGTTCTTGTCTTTTTGATGACCTCTTGTACATGTATTACAACATGTTTTCGAACTCTCTGATCAATCATGTTTGCTAGACAGGACGGACTGGTTATGTGATAGAAAACAAGCATTAAAAATTAAAAGATGTAACTTTAAAACCGAAAAAGTATAAGCAAATATTAGATTAATACAAAAAAAAAAAACAAGAGGAAAACATTTGGGTGGTTTCGTAGAGTAGGTGAAAAAGAAAGAAAACCACATACGGTGTCGTATTTGGAAACGCAACCTTATTCTCCTCTTTTCTAGACTTTTTTTGTTGGACCAAAACCACTTAAATCCCACTTTGTCTTTTTGTCTTTCTGTTTTTTCTTTCCACCCAAAAAAAAAAGGGAAAATAAAAACGGGCCGTTATCACGGCTTGGAAACGGTAGGGGCGTCTTTGACGGCGACCAACGACGAACCATTACCGTTAGCAATTGTTGTAGTAGTGGATAGGTTAGGAGACAAAGGAAGGCCACGAGAAGAAGCACACGTGGCGGTGGAGATTGTGGTGGCTAAAGAGATTGGCATTAGGCAAAGACCTTTGCCTTGTAGATATTGCATGGCCGATCCCATATCCTCTTCCATCAGCTTTGCCACTTGGTGCTCCGTCATCTTCGCCGCCGCCGTCGTCTGATTCTCCCCGGAGGATGACGTGTTTTCGTGAGATCCACCGGCATCCTAAAAGAAAATATCTAAAAAATTAAAATAAAACAAAAAAGAAAACAAGAAAAAGCAAAACCCTAAAGAAATGATGTCGAAATTTGAAGATGTTTGGTATTTTTTTGTTAGAGAAAAAAGTCAGCACGCGTGCGCTGCCCTTTTGATTTAGCAGTTTTGTTTTTTCACTCTTTTTGGAATACTTTTTTGGAGTTGTGTTAGAAAGTCGAAACTAAAAAACCACTTTTGATTTTGTCCTCTTCTTCCCTAACCAAAACTTTCTTCCATAAATTAAGCAATGAATTCATTCTATGTAGGATTTTATACTTAAAAGTAGAAATTACCTCAGAGATTTGAGAAGAAACAGAAGCAGCACCTCCGAGTCTACTCATGCTTAGTACCTTCATATATATTCAAAGAGAGTGTGACTAATAATAAAGTTAGCCGTTACATTTAACTACATGATTGTTAGGTGATTATACGTTTTAATTCACAACCCCAGAGATAAGAAAAATAATAATCACTGAGTGAATAGGGTGAGGGAGCATAAGGAATTTTAGTTGCAGAGGTCCATACTCGATTTACATATATTCTAATGTCAAACTCAAAGGTAAAAAAGCTTCCAATTATTATATAACCATACTAATAAAATAAATTAAAAAATGCTAGAAAGATTCACCTTGACTTGGAGCTGTAAGAACTTGACATAATCGATAATCTCATCGAGCATTGATGCTTTGTCTGTCTATTAATTATTATTATTATTATTATTACAATAGAAAGAAAAAAACACCATGTTAGCAATCCTACATCAGTTTATTAGTACTAAGTATTATTTTAATCTTAATTAGTATTAATTAGGTAATCAGTGTTTAATCATTTGATATAGTATAAAAAAGTCCAAAGCTCTAGATAGTACTAGTAGCAATATGTGGTCCAAATTATGAACTCCAAGATTAAAACAACATCAGTGCAAATCCATGTGATTAAACATAATATTCAGTTTGGTATCATTATCATATTAAGGAGATGTAAAATACAAACTAGATTCGAGTCATCTACTCCTTTAATCAAATTTTACAAACCATGGACATGGATGGATATCGAAGTTATAGATTAGTAACTAAAAATTGTATACCTTGTTGCCATTAGGGACAAGTTCTTGAAGAGATTTCATCCTCTCCGCTATTCTCTCTCTTCGTAACTGTTCCATAAATTTCAAAATTATTTCAACAAAAAATTAATATAGGTAATAAGAGCAATATATAACTTTATACGTTTTTCTCGGTAACTGAAAGCGAATAATGAGGAAAAGTTTTTTAAAAATAATCGAACCCGTTCGGCGATACTGTGAGGATCAGTGGCTTGACCTCTCCTAGCTCGGACTTTAGGCTTAGTCTGAGTCGGCGCTGTCGTACCACCGGTGGTGGTTGACGCCGTGGCCTGCGACTGAGTTTGCGCTTGACCTCCCGATCCCTAAAGAATATATACCACAGATAACATTTTAAATTTATTAATACTAAACCAAAATAAAAACATGTAGTTAGTATTTTCTCTTTTGTATTGTAGTTAGTATTTGGAAACGAGAGAGAAATGAATCGTACCTGAGGGAGGTGGAAAGGGAGAGATCCGGCGGAGAAGCCATTGAAGAGAGCGTCGTTAGGATGGTTATGAGACAAAGGAATCATAGTAATCTGGTTTCTTGAATCGACGTCGTGGTGGTGAAATCCAGGGATGGCACCGGCACAGTCGGGTGTAGGAGGAGGAGCTTCATCGAGGACGGAGGAAGGCCAAGGAGTGGAGGAGAAGATGTGGTGGAGGAAGTCATCGTGGTCAAATGTTGCTGGAGATTGGAGATGAGGAGAAGAAGAAGATGAAGGAGTTAGAAGAGAGGAGGAGTTCATGGCTTCTCTCTTTATTAGTTCTTTCTTTTTCTTTTGGAGTGAGAATGAAATGAAATGTTTTTGCTTTTGAGGTTTAAGGCTTTATGGTGATTTAAAGAGGGATGGTGATGGTAATATTTGATATTTGTAGGGTTTGAAATGTTATATAATACGTTTAGCAAATTGTATTTATATGGTAACCATTAGCAAATTCTTTGGTGTTCTTTTTCATATTTTTTTTTATCTACAAAATTCCATCATTGAAGTCACGATTTCTTCTTCTTTTTTTTTTTGGTTGTTGTTGATAAAATACCTTCTCATAACTATTTCTTACTACAAGTATACAGAAGTGTTCTATGAATAATATAATATCGTAGTAGATTGGAAAGCTGAAAGGAATCAAAATAATTAGTTTATAATTTGGTTGAACTAACTTCACTCACATTATATATGTCTTTTAAAAATTAAAAATTAAAACAAAAATAAAGAATTGTTTCAAAACAGATTTTAGAACATGGGTTTATCTTTAATAACCATTTTGAAATCTTCAAGTGTTAGAAAAGGAAAGTTCGAAAATTTTTTTGCCATGTAGGTTATAATTTGGTAACATTGGTTAATCTGAACATTGGAATTTTCCTTTTCTGGTTAGGAGTCGAATTTTGCCAACTACATATCTCTAATGTTAAAGATCTTCTTCTTTTATCAATCCGAGTTTTTTAAAATGTTTTTTAGTCACTAGAACCTCTCGAGTCTCTCGATATATGTTTTCGTTAGTCCGAAAGTGCAATAGTCTACAATATCTCTGGAGGCAAAACCTATTCGTTTGCAGTGACAACTATTTAAACATTTTAATATTAAGACATGCGGAATAAATGCATAAAACTATATAATCCTCATATTCATTTGAGTAAGATTCATCCATCCATGATGCTCTGTGCTTCATAATAGTACTCTTCTCCTTGATATATGTATGTTACTGTTTACGATTTGTCCCCAAAATTACAAACATGCTATCCCCTTAGACGATCCTCGTGTTTAAGAATAAGTATCCACAAAGGATCACTCCTTTTACAGATATATATATGTATCTTTCTTTATTTTTTCACCGATTTGCTTAACTTTTGGGAAACTAATGATCCTCTAATTAGACGAGAATATGACAGACCATCATCTCATCGCCATCATCAATTCATCACTATGCCACAATTAACTAAGTTCTTTACTAGAAAAAAAAGTGACAGCTTGTTAGTACAAATGTAAAGTTCTTGTTATATTTTTTATATAATTCATTTGTCCTTTTGCTAATAACATCAACAACTCATCATTGACCTGAAGAAGTTAAATCTTTCTTTTTACCAATACATGCAACTACGCAAGTTCTATCAATAAATCTATTATTTCAAAGAAGTTTCTTTTTTCCCTTCTTCTATATCAAGGTTTAATTGACAAAGCTGCTACTATATAAGCAAATAATTAAATAGTAGCATAATGCAAAATGCATGATTAAGCACATGGGACATTCTGATTTTTTGCACAAACTCACAAGAGGTAGAGATCGGCTTTAATACACTTCCCATTTTATTAATTGCTAATGTTGGTAAGCATTGATGTACTACACAACAGCCGAGAGAGAGAGAGAGAGAGAGATCTATCATCTCATGTCTTATTACTTTAGTATGATAGTATCACTAAGAGAGAATGCATGTACGTAAGATTATTAATGCAATAATGATTTTTGTTTGTGCTTAATAATTAGTATAATGTTTGACCAAAACAATAAAAATAAAAGTAATTATTTTAATGAAATGGCTGAAAAAATTTATTTAAAGAATGAGAATCTAATTTTCCTCCATACAGAAAAATGTAACGGAAATATTATATGTTTAATAAATCGTTGGTCCCAATCTCGCATACTAATATTAAGTTATTATTCTAAGTTATACTAAAAACACTAATTTGTGGATTGTTTATAAGAAACCAATAAGTTTACAATAGGAAGTATAAAGAAAATAAAAGCATGTGGTGCACGACAATTGTATACTCAAGCCTGACAAAACCATTATATTAACGTTGAGGAATTTTCCTCAAAATCATGGCTTTGTTGTTCAATTGAAAAACATTGGCTCTTACTATCTTCGTTTTAATACAACGAACCTAAATAACCACATCTCACACCTAAATACACATAAGTAATCTCATCCCATCTAATCTCATTTTTCTTCAGTGTAAAAGTTATTCACCTAAATTCTACATTGAAAACTCTACTTGAGCAACACAAACCCTACTTAATTTTGGTTAGCTGTGATAGATATAATATGATTGTAAGGTGAAGCTTGAGTGGGCTATAAAGGCTATTTTAAAATTGAGATAATCTTATGTGCAAAAATTGAAGTCCGCTTAGGCCCAATCAGTCAGTTTTAATGGTATTGGACACTTAGAAAGTTAGAACCGCCTCGGTTATGGTAAACCAGAAATATACGTCAAATCCGATCGATTCAAAAATAAACCAGAATAAACCTAACCGGTTCACTCGTTAAACCCAACCGCCTCTCTCTTTGATAGAGAACAAAAAAAAGGAAAAGCTTAAACCCTTTCTCTTCCTCCGCCGCGTTCTTAAATTTCTCCCAAGCTCAAGCTCAAGCTCAAGCTCAAGCTCAAGAGCCTTTCCGACATTTTTTTCTTTCCTTGAGAACCAGTCTTTCCTTCGCCAGCCCTCCCTCTCTGGGTTTCGTTTCCAAACGTAAGCTTTTACTTTTTAAAAATAAATAAAATTTGTTTCATAAATCAAGGCTTGTGTTGATTCTCAAACTGCAGCAATTGAGTAATTAGATTGTTTATTCCTAACTGCTTACTGTTTCTACTAGAAGCTTTACCTTGTTTTTGATTCCGGACTCAATTGTAAATGTTTTTCGAAATTTTGGGATTCGAAATTTACTGATTTGGAGATTGATGTTTAGGAAGCACAGAGCTTTGCACACTCTCTGAATCATGGCGACTTCAGCTGATGCTCGAGCGGTCAAGTCGCTCAACAATTCCGAGGGGCGGAAGAAATTTGTGGTAAGTGTTCGTTTTTTATTTTTGTGCGTATTGTTGTTAACACTTGGGCGTCTCTTTTCTTTTCCCTTCTAAAAGCCTCCTCTACAGCTATCTTGTTGATATTTTTTGATTAGCTTTCATAACCCCACTTACCCGCATTAGTAAGCTCGATTATCTGTTTTCTTTGTGCTCTCTAATATGGCTGTTTGTGCTTTATTGCTTCTGGATGCAGTTCAAGAATTTCTCTGATAGAATCAATGACATTGACATCAACGTGTATCGGAGCTTGGATAAGGTGAAGGCTGAGCCTTCTGAAGGATCCACATTTTTCAGGGATTGCCTCGTCGAATGGAGGGTATGTTTGATTTTTTTTTGCCTTGGACCTCTTTTTAAAGTGTTAGTATTTCTCTTCCGGTCTTGGATTTTTGTGTCTTAAGGTTAGAAATATTAAGTAAATCATTTTCGTCTTTATTTAGTAAGCCTTGCTTAGTATATTCAATATTGCTTTATTACCGGCTAGAAGTTGCGGTGGTTGAAAAATGAAAAGTAATGGCAATTTTAGTGATCTCATGATTCAAACCTCATGTTTTTATCGTTCACATGATTTTATAAAGAGCTGCACCGAAAAGAATGTTGGTACTCTGTTTCCTCCTTAGTTTGTTCTATTGGCATCTAGGTTGACCAGCCAAGCATTATCTCTGAATATATTGTTGATGTCTGACGCAGAAGCTAAAATGCATATGATATACTAGCGGGGTTGTTCTTGCTTTTTTTTTTATAAAAAAATATACCTAAGTCTTCTTGGTGCTAATCACAATTTACACAGACATAGTAAGATCATAAAATTGGCTCCTTTGACTGGTTGAATGCAGGAACTGAATACCGCAGAAGACTTCATTTTATTTTATGAAGAAATGTTACCATTAGTTCAGAATTTGCAGTTGGTTATTTTGCAAAAAGAATTAATCTTCTCGAAACTTGTCTCTCGATTACAAATGAAAGCAAGATTGTCTCTGGAACCCATTCTCAGGTTTGCTGATTTCTGCTCATTCTTTTAGCCTCGAACCAGCTGCCAGTGGAACATATTTTTTACTTATATAGACTTGTCTCTTCAGTTGTCAATTTTATCTGTATGCCACCGATAGTCTGTGTAGTTAACCACAGCACTTTGAAATCACGTTCTGTTTCCAAGGATTTTTTTTTTTTTTTTTCTGACTTCTTTGATAAATGATAATGTTGTCAGAGGAGCTAAGATAATGGTTGCTAAATTCCTTCACTTTTTTCCATTCTTGAGAGCATGCAATTTTGTAATCTTTCGGCAAAGAAGTATAATAACTTTTTTTGCAGGTTGATTGCTGCTCTATCAAGAGATCTCTTGAAGGACTTTCTTCCGTGAGTATTCTCTCTTTATTGTGCTAGTATACTTTGAAAACATAGTAATCCCTAACAAGGCTTACTGGAAGTAAATTCTTTGGAAAAGCTGATGAACTTCTTTAAGATGCCTACAAAGTACTCCTTAATGTCGTGAAACTCTTCACTATCTCTAGTTTTTTCAAGTCTGTTTCACCATCTGAGAACTGAATTAGTTTTTGTTATTCTGAATAGCTTACAACATGTTAACACAAAGTTTACCTTCTTTTCCTTGCATACAATGGCCAGAAAAGAGTTGCTAACTCGAATTTTGATTACTGTCGTCTCCTATTCTATAATTGTGCTAGACCACTAGGAGTTAATTTCGTTTTGACTGATAATTGGCAGATCATTTCACATTCTTGTGAGGACCAAGTGTTCTAGCTCCACTTTTGATTTCTTGAATAAACTCTTATCAGTGTGATTAAATTTTCTTACCAATTTCTTTTTTGTATTGTTTGGCTAGCTTCTTGCCACAGATTGTGAACTCGTTAGTGACTCTCCTAAAAAATGGGGCCCATAAAGAGCCGGAGATTATTGAGCAGGTTGTTGGTGTTCTACAGCATATCTTACACTCAGGACAATTCTTAAATTTATATGTTTTTTTCTTACTGAATTTTGGTCCTTTTTCTCATGCAGATATTCTCATCATGGTCTTCCGTAATAGAGTCCTTGCGGAAGTATCTCAT